AGCCATTTTGAAAATTAATAAATAAATATAATAGAAACTCATTTTTTTAATTTTGAGAATTATATTTATTTGTAATTAAATAATTAAAAATTTCTCTTTTTCCTAAATACTAAATTTTGAGATACAAAATATATATATATTGTAAGTAAACAAATTTACTCAACATAAATCTTAATTTATTATAATTATAGATTATTAATATGATTTTATTATCATGATATAAATTTATTGATGATATTTCTCATTAACTGCTCCTTCCAAAAATTTTTAATAAAATATCAAATATTCTTACTAAAGGTTACAACATTAGACCATATAGTAATAAAGATCCAATTAAATAATCATTAGATTATAAATTTAATCTCTTTTATATATTAATAAATTCTTACTCCTTTGCTCATAATTAATCTTGTTTCTAACATCAAATAGCATCCATATATGATTATGATTAATCCATATACACATTTCTCCCATATATGATTAAAAGTAAAGAATATCAAAAATAATGTGAAAGGTATGGATATACCAAAAATTATAATAGCCCCCACTATAAAATATGGAATGAATTGTACTTTTCAAAGAAACCTCTTTTTTGTTTACAAAACCTATTATCATAAATGAAGCTATTATTAAAAAAGTAATTCCCCAAGTTACCCAAACACCCATTTGTCTCAGACTTAATTCCATAAAAATGCATATAGTTGTAAATGTAAATCCAAAGAAAACTAAGTATAATATTAAAACTATGTAATTTATAGGAGCCTATGATTATATCTAAAACTAATACTTTTCTAGCAATGTTTCCTCCAAAATATAGTGTGAATTACAATATTAATGAAATAATTAAAGAAACATAGAATAACCAAGATGGTGTAAGACAATCCTTTAAATATTCCGAACATTCATATTTCCAATGCACAAGCCAAAGGTCCATTCTTGTGTAAAGTCCTAAAGAAATCATTCCCAAATTTAAAAAGAATTCGATTGTTAAAAAACTATACATATTCTGAATAAATTCAGCTCTTATTATAGTATTCTAAAATTCTCCTTGATCTAAGAAAATAGTAAATTATAAACATTCAAATTAATTCATTATCTAAGGTTTTCCATTTTATGTTTCAAATGACTATGGATTTAGGTATTATTGTTAAGTATTCTAATTTAACAAATAATTGTTAAAGTTATTGTTCATGAAAATGAAAGATAATTATTATATTAAGTAAATTTTATCTGTCTTCAAAGCTTAAAAATAATAAAAATATTGATTATTAAACTATTCCATATTTATTTTTGGATATTATTTTTATCCTAATAAATTATTATAATTTGTAATAAAACAAGATGTTTAATAATAATAATAAATTTTATTTATAACTATCATGTTATGATTATAATTAATTTAGACTTGAATTATGCTAGATATGATTCAATTAGATTGTCTATTTTTAATATCAATCAATTAAATAATTTACAAATCTCATTAAATTAATTAATATTAATTTTTATAATCATAATTGGATTTAAAAAATGGATTTTTTCATATACTAGGATAGTAATTAAGATTTATGAATCACATTGCATAAATAATTATTAATTGGTTATATAAAAAATATCGAATAAAGTCTTATAAATTTTAGAGAATAAATTAAATTAGATTTTTCATTACACTTAATAATACTAATTTTTACACCTATATTTTTTTTGTGTAATTTTTATTATAAGTATATGTATTTTTTTATTTTTTTGATTTTCATAGATAGAAGGATTACCTATCCTTTTTCTAAGATTCAAATATCAATAAATATGAAATTATAAGTATTTATCTAGATTTCAAAATTATCGGTATCAATATTCATATACTTCAGAAGGAATACTTTTAAAAATAATGGTTTGAAGGATAAGCTTTAAATAAAATTGTATAAATTCTTATTTATTTCACAATTTTAATTGAAAGAGTTTTTAAAATTAGTTAACCATCTTTCAATATTCTAGAGATCATTAATTTATAGATACAAAACAAGTGATATCATCTAATCTATATACTATATCAATGTTTTTGAATTCCAATTATTCTAAAAATACAGAAAGTTTTTTTAAAGATAAAGTATAACTTTAACAGTGATTTATTTATTAAATTCTTTTAATTAAAATAAATTTTGAGTTATTTAGAATAAATAAAATTTATTTATTGGTATGCATATTAGGTTATAGAATAATTGAAGAAGTAATATACAGTTATTAGATAGAGAAAATATTTTACATTCAAATTTAGAATATAAGATGATGAATAATTATTAATCATTTTTTATATAATCACATTTAATGATTTAGAAATAATTTTTCAACAAAAAATTAATATAAACACAATCTACATGATAAATATATATAGTTTTATTATTGCTATACTTTCAAGTTAATTATTGATGGAAAATAGTTTGATTAATTTTGAAAATAAGATCATTTTTGATTAGACAATTCATCACATTTTGGAAAATGATATTAGTTTATTCAACAAGAATTAAAAAAAATATTCAATGATTCAAAAAAATTATGTAGTTAAGCAAACAAAAAAAATATTTAAATTAAAAATATTCTTATTTATTATCATCATAATTTATCATATTTGATAATATTAAAAAGCAGCAACATCAATAAAAATATGAACTACCAAACCATTGACTTCAAATCCAATTTCGATTAACCTTTATTAATATAAATAGATTTAATCAGTCTAAAAAATTATTATATAAATATAATTTACTTAATAAATTAGCTTAGAGCGCATTCTTAAGGATCTATGAATGATATTGATTTTTTATGTAATGTATATGAATAATCTCAAAAACTATAATAATAATATAAATATTATTAAAACATAAAATTATCTATTTTAAATAACATCAATTTAGTAATTCTCATATTATATACATATTTTAAATTAAATTAATTGGTTTTTGGGACTATTTGATAAAATTACATTATATATGATTTTACATGATAATTTTACATATTTTCCAATCTAATCAATAAACTTAAGTATGATAAATAATTTAAAAAGAAATAAAAATTACCATAAAATTCAAACTCATTTACAACAATGAGCCTCCTATCGAGCTAAATAATTATTCTAAGATTGATTTTTTATTAACAAATGTATTTCTTTTGTTTTTTTTGAAATCATTATGAAAAACACATACTATTCTACATTTATTTTAATTTGCTTTATTCCTTCATTTTGTCAATTATAATAGCAATCATTCCTTTGGATCATTAATTGAAATTTAATACTATTAAAAAATAATTTATGCTTATATAAAATAAATATTATTAAATAGTTTGATTAATAATAAAGATTATTTGGAAGCTTAATTGAAAGAATCAAAAATAAGAAACATATTAAAAAATATCGTATAAATACAAAATGAATAATGATGAAGTAAAAATTAAAGTAGATTAATGAGGATGCCCTTAAATTTATAACAGGACCTTTGCCAATTTTAAAGTATCTAAAAATTTTATTGGATTCAAGTTTTAATGCTCTGAGTTTATATTAAGTTTTTTTATTATTTGTTTTTTTTTTTATGGATATACCAAAAATTATAATAGCCCCCACTATAAAATATGGAATGAATTGTACTTTTCAAAGAAACCTCTTTTTTGTTTACAAAACCTATTATCATAAATGAAGCTATTATTAAAAAAGTAATTCCCCAAGTTACCCAAACACCCATTTGTCTCAGACTTAATTCCATAAAAATGCATATAGTTGTAAATGTAAATCCAAAGAAAACTAAGTATAATATTAAAACTATGTAATTTATAGGAGCCTATGATTATATCTAAAACTAATACTTTTCTAGCAATGTTTCCTCCAAAATATAGTGTGAATTACAATATTAATGAAATAATTAAAGAAACATAGAATAACCAAGATGGTGTAAGACAATCCTTTAAATATTCCGAACATTCATATTTCCAATGCACAAGCCAAAGGTCCATTCTTGTGTAAAGTCCTAAAGAAATCATTCCCAAATTTAAAAAGAATTCGATTGTTAAAAAACTATACATATTCTGAATAAATTCAGCTCTTATTATAGTATTCTAAAATTCTCCTTGATCTAAGAAAATAGTAAATTATAAACATTCAAATTAATTCATTATCTAAGGTTTTCCATTTTATGTTTCAAATGACTATGGATTTAGGTATTATTGTTAAGTATTCTAATTTAACAAATAATTGTTAAAGTTATTGTTCATGAAAATGAAAGATAATTATTATATTAAGTAAATTTTATCTGTCTTCAAAGCTTAAAAATAATAAAAATATTGATTATTAAACTATTCCATATTTATTTTTGGATATTATTTTTATCCTAATAAATTATTATAATTTGTAATAAAACAAGATGTTTAATAATAATAATAAATTTTATTTATAACTATCATGTTATGATTATAATTAATTTAGACTTGAATTATGCTAGATATGATTCAATTAGATTGTCTATTTTTAATATCAATCAATTAAATAATTTACAAATCTCATTAAATTAATTAATTTTAATTTTTATAATCATAATTGGATTTAAAAAATGGATTTTTTCATATACTAGGATAGTAATTAAGATTTATGAATCACATTGCATAAATAATTATTAATTGGTTATATAAAAAATATCGAATAAAGTCTTATAAATTTTAGAGAATAAATTAAATTAGATTTTTCATTA